CCCATGGATTGACAACAATATGGTGAAGGCCAGGGGAGGGGGAAGCAGGGGCTGGGTGGAAGTGGGCAAAGGCTGGTAAATGGGGGATATCTGTAATATTGTCAATAATAAGCAACAATAAATGAATAAATAACAGACTAATCAAAACTTATTCCACTCTGTCTGTTCTTTATCTTCTTTTCTTCTTTGCCTGCTTGCTACCTTCCTTCCCTACTTCTCTCTTTCCTTTCTTTCTCATCCATCTCTTCCTCTCTTCTTCCCACCGTCTTTAAACAATGGCTGCTCAATAACTACTAATTACCTGTTTGTTTGATTAAAATACCCCCCAAAGTGCTAAATACTGTCCTTCTCATCTTCCCCCTTCTCTTCTTTTCCTTGCTTCTCCTGCCCAGATCTCTAATCAAGTCCAGACTAATCCTCTTTGTTCTTTTTTCCTCTTTGATGTGGCCCAGGGATTCAGTCTGACTGTTTTATTGGGAATAGGGCTTCCACTTCCCTGGCCCCTTTTGGCTTCTAGACTGTATAGTGAGACCCTATTTCTCCAACCCTCCTTATACCTAATGATTGCAAGCCTCTTTTCTAGAAAACTTCTATTATTACCATAATCAGAAACAGCCAGGGAATCACAAAAACCTTCGCCAAGAGAAAAATCACAAAAATCTTACAGGTCTTTAGGCTCATAGTGCTTAAATTCCTGCTTCCCTCTCTGAAGTGGTAATTGGACCAAAAAATCTTGATTTTAAAGAGCACTAAAAAGGATAAAAGATAAGCAAGTCTTGAGCTAGCCAACCCTACTAACATTGCATGGCAAGGACAGCATATGAGCAGCTGTATTGGGTGAAGGAGCTCCCCTACTTATTTACACGACTGGCCATGGCTCCTGAAATCCTCCTTTATCCTGAAATTTGCCCAGTGCCAACCCTTTGACTCTGTCTCTAGTTTTCAGCCCTAGACTCAACTGTGGTTTCTATCAGGTGCTTCCTCTACTTATTCTTCAAAGTCCTCTGTCATCTGTGCTTGGACATTTCCTCCGGCTCCATTTTAGGCTGATCCCCGGAGACCCACCTAAACTCTTACTCTAGTAGACCAGCCCAAGGAGAAAGTGGGCACATATGAAGAACCTACAAATAAATAACTTTTAAAAGTGAACAAGATGTGGTATGCTGTTGCCTACTAGCACCTGCTCATGAGAGCCAATGAAGTTTTCGGGAATTTTGCAAGCCAGTTGTTCAACATAGCCATTATTAAAAATTAAATTACTTAGCCTTTGTTGGGTGGTTCAGTTGGTTGGATTGTCACCCCATACACCAAATGGTTGTGGGTTTGATTCCCAGAAAGGGAATATATATAGATTGTGGATTAATGATTGGAATCAGGCCGTGACCATCAATGTGGATTTGGAGGAGCTGCATTTGAGCTATCAGGGATCTAACCTGTCATTCCTGGTAGACATGAATAAGGATGTTTGTAGTCCTGAGAACTGATAGCCATCTCAGAAACACAAATCAAAGAGATGCCCAAGAATGAATATAAGCTGAGGAAGTAGAACCAAAAATGGTGATACTTAACAGAGGGTTCATATCGTTACATGAGAAAACTGCAGGAAAAGTAAATACTCTCTTATCCTGGTCATGTGTGTGCATATACATATAGCCAACCAAAGAGCAAGCTCTCTATGGACTGAAATTTTTGTTGCACCTTTTTGTATCTGTGCCTAACTTAGCACTGCACCCTGTAGGCAGTGGAGGACAAGCAGTAGTAAGTGCTTAATAGATATGTGCTTAGTAGAATTGGTTAGTAATTCAGGAGCAGATTGTGTAGGAAGTGGAGTGAATCAGAATCAAGCCCTCTTCCCTTCTTTGCCAACAGCCAGTTTTAATCCATCTGTCATCAGTTGTGAATGCCCCAGGGCAAAGGAATGAAGCCATGTGGTTCTTGAGTCCAAAAATTCAGTTTCTAAACCAGAGGAGTTTGTATTTTTCTGCTGGACTATAGGTACGCCCTGCTTTTCCAAAGGTCACCTTGCACCACTTCGCTTTTATGAAAGACCTACATTGGTACTTATTTTTACTAACAATAAAAATTTAAAAATCCGAAAAATATTTCTGCTTTTTTAAAAAAAGATAAAATAGTGTTCAGTTTTGTTTTTTGTTTTTAGTGGGGGTTTTTTGCAGCAAACTGGTTAGAGAGGCAGTACTCACTTGTAACTATACCATACATGCATTATTTCTTGTGTATATAGGCTGTAAAGTATATCTTTCCTGCTTGTACTCCATGTTGGTGTTATTTTAAGCATTATCTGTTATTTGATATGATTGGTTTGATTATTATTTGGGTGTGGGAATGCTCCCTAGGTTTTCCTGTATAAATTAATGGCAATTGCTTTATACCATTAAAGAGGGTTTCATAGAAACACTGTATTTTCAGATAGTGGGGAAAACCTGCACAGTGAAAATAAGCCATAGCCTTTTAGTGAGCATCAGCATTAAGAAGACTCGTTTGGTCTATGTTTTTTATGATGCCAAATATGCAGATAAGAATGCAAGTGTGCAGTCAAGTGTTCACTTTGGCAGCACATATAATAAGATTGGAACAATACAGAGATTAGTTAGTCCCCTTTGCAAATTCATTAAATGTTTTATATTTTTAAATATGCTGTTTAGAGTCAAATTACATGGGTCTGAAACTAGCTACTTAACTTGTTTATCTGTAAAATGGGGATAATATATGTAAAATACATATAAAATATATTTAAAACATATTATAGTTTGTTGGGAAATAAATGGGTTAATATTGAAAAAAATATGCAGTTAACATGTCTCAAAAATCTATGTATGTGACACCACATTAACAAAATATCCAATTACTTAAGCAGACTTCTCATGTCTATCCAGGAGTTTGGCCCCATGTCAGTGAAAGTGATGGCAATAAATGTGACAGTCCCAAAGTTGTACGGACTGTGGCTCTGAATGATACCAGCCACCTATGACTTGGAGAGGGAGATAAGTATAAACACAGGCAAATCGTGTGAGTGTTTGTTATATTTTAAGTTGAAAGAGGACATAACCATGTTAGGAATGCTGCCTCCTGCTTTCCCCATCCCTTCCCTGTCTTTCCTCTGCAACCCCATTGCTACCCAACATACAAAATGTCTTATCTGTATTAATCTAATCCCCTCTCCATTTCCCAGAACATAAGCTCCAGGAGGGCAAGAATTTGTCTCTACTTCTGTTCATTGCTCTATTCTATATACTACTACTTAATAGACTGTAGTATATGGTAAACCAGAGGCCCGATGCACAAAAATCATACATTCGAGGGGTTTCCTCAGCTTCGCCTATGACTTCTCACAGTACAGAAGCCCTCAGGGGGTGTCTGACTGATGGATATGATGTTTGGGAGCCATCAGTCAGACATTCTTAGCACTGCCACAGAGGCAGGAGAGGCTCCCACCACAGCCACTGCAGGCGCCAGCCGTGCGCCCGGCTTCTGGTTGATCCGCGCTCTCCTGTGGGAGCACACTGACCACCAGCGGGCAGCTTCTGCATTGAGCATCTGCCCCCTGGTGGACAGTGCACATCATAGCAACCAGTTGTTCCACCGTTTGGTTAATTTACATATTAGTCTTTTATTATATAGGATGACCAGTAAACATTGGTTGAACAAATGAGATGTCCTGAAGGACTGTTATTTGCTAATCAATTAATAAATCAGAAACTATAATGGCTGGGTTAAAAAAATACCTTTTCCCCCCTGAATTAAGTTAAAAGATTCTGTGACTTAATAAGTGCTGTCTCAACAACAATCTTAACTACAATATAGCTTTATGACTATAATCAATTTGCTTAACATAATTCCCCTTTGTTTCTCTGTCTGGAAAATGGGGAAACAGTGCCAGCTCTTTATTCTTCAAAAACGTTTAAGCATCCTCAAAGAGATAACAGCTGTAAAGGGTCAGGTTAAAGATACAATGCAGGAGCTTAGCATGGATGGTTTTTCATAAAATTAAAGTTATCTCAGTTGCCCATTTACTTACTAAACCAGTAAAATTCCATTTCAGCTTTTATTATTATGTATACTAATAAACATGAATTCATCAATTTTCTATTTCCTATTTCATCCAAAGTATTGTTATTATAAATTTAAACTAACCATTTTCAAATCCAACTGCCACTTTCTAATACTTCACATCTGTCTCAAAGTCAGAAACTTTCTAATGAAAGACATGCTCATCGAATCCACTCTAACTCATCCTTATGAAACATGTGAAATGTCTCTTCTCCAGGGTAATCATCCTTTATCCTCCCCCTGCATTAAAAGCAAACCAGTCTTTTTGCTGTGAGAATTCCAGCTGTCCTGTCCCCAGGTTCTCCTTTAAGCTAAAGTTGGTGGGGGGGGTTTAGGGTCTCCCTTCCAATTTTAAAAAAGAGACCCTGTACCTTTAATAACAGAGACCTGGTGAGAGGTTTCTTTCCAAACTTGTTCCCTGGCTTCCAAGTGACGAAACCAGCTGTAATTTGAGAGCAGAGAGATCCTCAGGATATCATTAGCCAAAGGAAAAGCTCCGCATTCCCACTCAGCCCAGGAGCTGCAATAGTACCAGAGGGCAAGAGCCAGCCTTTCTCTCCCTCCAGCTCCAGGCTCCAGCTCCCAGCATCAGGAGAGCTGAGAGCTGCAGAGCCAGTCCTGCCAAGCCCTGGGAACCAGCAGGGGAAAGAGCCTGCTGAGCTGCAGCCGCCCAGCAGCAGCACGTACCTACTTAGAGCGGGAACACAGATCCCTGTGCATCCTGCGCTGCTGACCCTGCTACCCAGGCGCTGGGGCCTCAGCCCCATGAAGCCTGCTGGAGAGGGGGCACCAGGGAGCAACAAGCCGGCGGGGCCTGAGGCTGACGCTGTCTCAGGGAGGCGGCCCTGACTCCCAAGGGGACCCCCTTCCTTCCTCGTGTCCCCGGGCCCCAAGTTTTCTCCAGGGGTCCTCTGTCCTCCTGAAGCCACAAGATGGCCTTCCTGCAGCTGCTCTGGATGGGTCTCTTCTGCCACCTGTGCCAGGGCTACTTCGACGGCCCCCTCTACCCGGAGATGTCCAACGGGACGCTGCACCACTACTTCGTGCCCGACGGGGACTACGAGGAGAACGACGACCCCGAGAAGTGCCAGCTGCTCTTCAGGGTGAGTGACCACCGGCGCTGCTCGCAGGGCGAGGGCGGCCCGGCCGGCCGGCTGCTGAGCCTCACGCTGCGGGAGCAGTTCACGGTGCTGGGCCGCCAGGTGGAGGACGCGGGGCGGGTCCTGGAGGGCATCAGCAAGAGCATCTCCTACGACCTGGACGGAGAGGAGAGCTACGGCAAGTACCTGCGCCGGGAGTCCCACCAGATCGGGGACGCCTACTCCAACTCGGACAAGTCCCTCACGGAGCTGGAGAGCAAGTTCAAGCAGGGCCAGGAGCAAGACAGCCGGCAGGAGAGCAGGCTCAACGAGGACTTCCTGGGGATGCTGGTGCACACCAAGTCCCTCCTGAAGGAGACGCTGGACATCTCCGCGGGCCTCCGGGACCGGTACGAGCTGCTGGCCCTCACCATCCGGAGCCACGGGACCCGGCTAGGCCGGCTGAAGAACGATTACCTTAAGGTGTAGGGGACTCGGGGGGGGGGGGGGGGGGGGGAGGGGTGGAGCGTCCTGACAGCAGAGGGGACCGCGTCTGCCCTGCCATGGAGGGAGAGGGACAGAAGACAGGGCTGACATTCCCCCAAGAAGATAATCTTTATATTCAGATTTGCACTTGGAGAATGATCTGAAGTCATCTTGGAAAAGGAACGAAGTGGGTTTGGTTTCTGTACATTATTTATGAGACGGATCTGCCATGGATTTGCCACCTGCCAACAACCGTGGTAAGCCAGGCCTCCCACCTTTTCCTCCGAGGCTTGGTAGCTGCAGAGACACCTGTTTCAGCCACCCCCAAAGGACACCCAGGACACAGTGTTGAGCTTTCCCTACCCCCTCATCGTAGAGATTTGCTGAAATACACAGACAGCAGCCAGCGTGCATAGCTTCTTCCCCCTCGCAGCCTTCTCCCCTGGGCGCTGGAAGCTGGCAGAGATGCCTGTGTTTCAGAGGAGGCCCAGCACGGTTCTGCATGCTCCGGGCAGATGGAAGCTGCTGTCTTCTCTTCACTTTTCTCTCTTATTTATTACCATTGTCTCTAAGGTTTTTTGTTTTGTTTTGTGTTTTGGTAAGAGTATTGGCTAGAAACTACATGCAAATCATCCTTTGCAGGGAGATGTGCCAGTGCCTCTGTGTGTATAAATCCAAGCGGCTGGCCACCTTTAAGAAGTCTGAGGTTTGTGGCGGTTGGGCACTCACATCGATGTGTTGATTTGCCATGTCTCTCACTGTGTGTCTGTGTCATCCGTGCTCTGGTCCATTAAGAAGAAGTAGCTTGTTTGTTTGAACACACCCCCAAATGCCTTAGGAGTGAGGTTGTCAATATATTCTTTCTCATTTAGGGGGTCTCGCTTCTGTTTGCTTATTGGAGGCTTGTACTTCAGGTAAGGGGGCGGGGGGATTCTAATAACTCCTTAGCCAAATTTTATTATTCAGACAATAAACATGTTCTCGTGTAATGCTGGCTTATTTTCTAATTTCTATCTGTGACTTTCACATTGCCAAGAGGGGCCAACACGAAAGGAAAGAGAAGGATGGGATGTAAGACAGTTTACTTAGAGTGTATATTAAAGATAGAGGGATAGCTACATATCTGGTGCTCTTTCCTTCCCTGGCCACCTTTTCAATCAAAAGAAAAAAAAAATCTAGGCCGTTTTGATCTCTGCTTGCTGGTCTGCCTGAAAACTCTAGTGTTTCTCCAGTTTTCCCCATAGAATCAACTGGAAAACTTTATGCCAGTGCTCATACCTTCTATGCCTCAGAATGCAGAGGGAGAGATCTATTCAAAGTTATAGGAACTACAATGGTGTTCAGTTATTCTGAAGCCACATCTATGCTATTTAATCCATGCTATAAGAAGATGGAAATGCAGTTTATTTCATGTCTTTCTCTGGCCAGTTCTCATCGTCACTTAAATTTGCTTTCTTTTCATACATACACACAGAGGAAAATAAATAAGTGTTCATAACCTACTTTTCAACAGTGATCCATCTTTTTTCACTTAATGCACAAGGAATCCAGGTTTCTATTCCTATGAAGTGTCAAATATTTTCCTGCTATAGTAGGGGAAACTGAGGCTTGGAGAATTATTGATCCTCAGCTAATTGTAACTGTTCTGGGTGTCTTACATTTGAGTATACGACTTTCCCATGTGCTCTTTTCAAGGATGAGGAGAGATGAGAGATGAGGCTTTGAATAATTATTTTATTGTTTAAAATAAAAAAACATACAAAATACTATTTAAACAAATCACTTGTAATTTCCTCATCCAGAAACCTGCTCTTAGCTGCCTCTGGACTGGTGTGTGGTAAGAAGGTAAATGATCCTTTAAAAGCATTTTTCCTTTATCCTATAAAAGATGAGGAAAATAACAGCATGGGCAAAGGAGTTGGTATTGTGACTATAAACTACAATAGTTTGTAGTCACAAGCTTTCATATCACTCACTCCACAGTGCCCAAGTCTAATCCATGGACGTATTAAATGGCATCACCTCGGTTTTCCCAACTATAATAGAAGGACATTAGAAAGGGACATGGATGAGAAACCAGTTTTCTCACACGTGCTAATTTGAATCCATTGGCAATTTGTACAGTACTATGTTAAGAACAATTTAAAAGACACAGATGTAAAGAGAGCTGTCCCCATCAGCGATGTCCCCATCAGCAGGGTGGGAAGGGGTGGCACATCTGCTACAAATTTGAAAACCCTGAAATAGATCAGAGATGGGGCTCTTTCCAGTACTAACAGTCTATGATTTCTACAAAACCAGAATGAAATGATTGGACATTGAATCATCCATTCAAGGCTAGAGGAACTGCCAGCAATCCCACAGTCTTATGTAAATGGCCCCAGAGGGCAAATGGGAATCTCCAGGTGGGGAGAGGGAGCTATCCTGGATGGCTAACCCAGAGGCTAGCATCACAAGGCTTTTCCAAATCCTCTGATGGCAGGGAGACAGCACCACAGATTTTTTTCCTCCCTGCTTCACAGTTATTTTTATTAGGACTTCATTACTCACATGCTAACAAATTCTTTGTTCAAAGTAGGGGTTCATTAGTTCTTAGACCATGAAATATTTTGAGAATCAGATGAAAACTAATACTGCTTTCTTTCCTGAGATAGCTACTTACAAACACATCCATATAATTTGGGATATGTGTTGCTTTTATAAATATATGTCAGGCACTGAGTTAGGCTGTGGATAATTCTGGGATATGACAAAGCCTTGGGAATTCATCTAGCAAAAATACTTTCAAAGACTCTTAGAGTTATATTTGGAGAAAGATGCATGTACTGTTTTTTAAAATAACAATGAAATAGCTAACCTTTTGGAAACTCATAATTTTGATCATACCCCTAAGAACTTTACCTGAGTTATTTCCTCAGTCCTATTACAAACTGTGTGAAGGGAGCATTTTATTTTTATTTTTTTAATTTATTTTTACATATTTTATTGATTTTTTTTGCCCCCCTTCCTCCTTCCCTCTCACACATCCCCTCCCTCCCCAGAGTTTTAAGTCCATTGATTGTACTTATATGCATGTATACAAGTCCTTCGGTTGATCTGTTATCTGAAGGGAGCATTTTATAAAAGGAATTGGTACATGCCAAATGCTTAGAATAGTACCTGGCAGACTGAATCCTCTATAATTGCTACTTGTTATTAATGACATTATCATTATCATTATTTTTATAACTTAGGCCCAGAAATCCTAGGTTATATTCCCCAAATTAAACTGTGTGTTGTCATACATACATTACTATGTCCTCACATTTTAAATAAATTATTATCCAGTGAGCTAGATCATCAAATAAAATAAAATGCAAAGGGTGAGGCTGCCAGTTGTCCACTCCAAGCATTGTCCCCTGTAGGCCAGTCAGCCCACTTCCTCCTGCAGTTTAGATGTCTGACTGCTGTCAGTCAGAAGCTGAGTGGCTCCTGTTTACAGAATGCCTTGTTGATACTTTCTCTGTATGATTCATTGTTTAATACCACTCATCTTTATGCTTCCCGAAGTCTGACCATGTGAAACTTCCCCATGCCTATTTTGAAGCATTTCTACTTTGAAGATAAAGATCTGTCCATCTACAGTCTGTGGATGAAGAACACCAGGCTACATTATCCTCTGCAGCATCCAAAGGCACGCTCATAGAAGCCAGGAGAAGACAGCAGGTGTCGGAGTGTTACAAACATTAGCACCAAAGGCTACTCCATAGTTCACATACTTTTCAATGCCTTTTAAACTCTCCTTCATAACTCCACTAAAGAAACAGGCTCAAAACTTTCTGAGAAAAGCCTAAAACTTATATTATAAACCATTTTAACAAATAACAAAATGCCCATGAAAATCACTTGAAGGTATGAAATCAACCAAAAGGGTAGTATGGCCAAATGTCCTTAGGGCATTTTTCAGAGGATGATTATAAAAATCTTGTAGACACTGAATACTTGAATATGAAATATAAATGCTAAGTGTGGTTTATGAAAGTTTTCATGTAAAAGAAAAACAACTACATAAGTCTTGGTTAGACATAAAATACAGAAATGCATAACAATTCACTAAATATAGAGAATGAGATCCTATTGCTTATCTTAGTAATTTTGAAATTAGGGTGGTCCTTAGGAATCCTGTTTCATGAGTCAGAATCGCAATGGCTCTGTTCATCAATCATTTTCAAAGTGCCCCCATTTGAGGTACCCAGGATAAAAATAGTATGTAGACGTGTGGAAACTGACACCTAAGCACAGAGTTAGAGTGTGGCAGCATGCAGGATTGGCCTGTGGACAAGATTCGGTGGGAACTCAGTGAGAACCTAAACCAGAATTATCTGGAAAACATAAAAGCATTGTTAATAACATAAAGATTTATACAGTCACACATTTATATGACATAGAAGTGTCATTGCTGATGTTATTAGTGCAGTTGCTATGCCTTGTAAGCATTTTTTTCTGGTTAGTTAATCCATAACTGCTGAATTCTAATAATATGGCAAATGGTGAAACACAAAGAAAAGAAAGCTGTTTGAATTTTCAAACTCACCATTATACACAAACTAAAAACTATTGGCATTTTGGTGTACATTCTTTCAGTGCTTTAAATACAGATCTATATAAGTATTTTTTCTTTTGAAAAACTATTATAGTAACACATTGTTTCAGAGCCAATGTCTATTTTAGGTTTCAACTTTGCTTAATTGCTTAAATCTTTCTTAAATGCTTAAATTTAGCCACAGCACTTTAAGAGGCACAGTTGTGGGTTCTAGGCTCGCTCTTTCATGTATTGGCTGTACAATTTTGAGAAAGTTCCTTAAATGTTCCAAAATTCAGCCACTTTGTTGCAAAAGGAAGGTAATAATAGCTAATATTTATCAAATGAGCACTGCTCAAAGTGTTTTCTGTACACTATTTTACATAAGTCTCCCAGGGTTATATTTCAAATAGATGTCATATTTTCTGAACTTTTTGAATGA